AATGGCACTCAGACCCATGGGCACGCTCGTCCACCAGTTTGACATCACTGAAATCGAGCTGGACAGTAGCACACACACTTCCTGCCCATACACACACTGTGTCCACACACTGTGTCCTCACACTGTGTGTGTCCACATACTTAACGTTTCCACACACTGTGCGTTTCCACACTGTGAGTTTCCATGCACCTGTATTTCAGATAGGCAGCCGCTATTGTCGCAGGTGCCGAGTAAAGTGCGGCGACTGGTTTCTCGCGAGTACGGTCTGGCAAAACCAACCGTCGCTGCGGAAGAGGACCGTTGGGAGCCGTCGCACTTTGTGTCGTCGGCGGCTTCGCGTCGTATCGGTGGAGTGGCCACCGGCATCGGGGGCATTGCATCCGAGGACGAAACTGCGAGCTGGAAGTTGCATTCAGGGAATAAGTTTCTGCCCCGGTTCGGCCGACACCTTGTCCAAGGCTGCGAACTATATCGACCGAGGGACCGCCGTCTGCAAAGTCTGCTGCTTCGCATGAGAATCGGTGGTCCTCCGAAGGCTCCAACCCGTGAGGGGCTGACGGACACCCAACAAGGTGTCGAGGTCAAAGGGGCAAAAAGGAAAACAGCTTTGGGTCCGTACCTCCCTCCTGACTTCGAGCCGAAATTGCGAAGACCGAATGCAGAAACGCAAGAAGGTCCAGCGAAAGAACCTCGAGCGCAAGAACCTCCTCCGGCTAAAACCGAAGGAAGAAATGTGACGGCAAAGGCGATGACAAGAGGCGAGACATTGTGGCTGGCCTGGCAGGTCAGTCAGGTGAATAGTTTCATCGGCCTTTATGAACGCGCGTATTTCGACCCAGCCATATCGCTTGTAGAAGACCGTCTATGCTCCCATACCATTCACGACTTAAGTGAGGCGTCTTCGATTGTCCCTGTCTCGACGGAACTGGTATTTGGAGGGGATAGTTTAGACACAAATGAAGTTAGTTTATTAACGTCTGTGAAAACGGACGTCACCGGCGGTCGTATTACCACCGGCGGTCGTAGAACCAACGATAGGATGCTATTATCTCGTCAACTGTTGGAATCAAATACAGGTTTGAATCGATTTCTGCACAGA